CTGATGCACAATGCTGCATTTGACATCGACGAGTCTGAAATAGAAGCGTCAAGAGAAGCAGAAAACGCCAATGCCATCCATAAATCCCTTTCCCGAATACAGTATACTGGCTCTCCAATAGTACACCAAACACCGACAAAATCAACACCATGACATAGTCACTGGCCTAAAAATCAAACACAATAGTCCAACACGCAGCCGGAAGTCAAAGGGTATCTCAAGCCACGGACACGCGTGCATCGAAAGAAGAAGGTTGGACTCGGAAAAAAATTTCAAAGCACGCCGCCTGGAAGATTGATTTGTCCCTGTCGGCCACCATCAAAGCCAGCACTGTTAGGTGCTGCAGCACCAGGCCCTGGAGTGCCTGAAGGGTTGTCCATATGGATCTTCCGTAACATGAACATTGGCTTCCGTCCTTCCTTTTCTAGCTGCTTGAACAAGAGAAGGGGCTTCTCCTGCAACTCTAGGCAACGCTCTTGATCCCCATAAACAATATAAAGCGCGTAGTTCTTCCAGTCAGAGTTGATGTTGTATTTCTTAAGAGCAGCGGGTAGGACCTTGTAGCAGGGATCTTCCCAGGAGACGCGGAATGACTTGAAGATTTCGACGCTATTTGGGTTTTCGTTGCCGCCTCCACCTCCGCCGCCTCCACCCCGTGAGTCAGACCTATCGAGTCGTGGGTCAAGACGTGATGCAGTGGACGGTGTCTCCGCGCGGGACGCTGGAAGCTGACTCGGGGTGGATCGGTCTCTAGAATGTATTGTCGGGGTTTGTTCGGCATAATCATAGGCTGTGTTGCGGTTCGCGGTGGAGAGTGGTTGGGTATATGATCGTGGATTGAGTGTCTGAGGGTGAGCGTGGTGGTGGTGAGGCGACGTTGGTGAAGGAATTCCAGGGGATAGTTGTGACCCTCCATTCATTGAGGCTGTCAAATGGGATGAGGCGGCCATGGCAGCGGCTGACGGGTTAAGGGTGTCGTGGTGAGAGCGTCCATCATAGCCCGTAGGTGGAGGGTGGGTTGGCGAATTGTTTTTTGATGTGGCACCGTTGGGATGGATGCGCTTGGAGAAAGCTCGCGCAATTTTCGAAGATGAAGAAAGTTCCTGGGTGAGCGTGGGTTGGGGTTGGGGATTTGACGTGAGAGTGGCCGTGCTGTCGTGCCAGTTTTCTGAAGATTGCCCATGCGAAGAGGGTGGAGGCAATGGGTGGGACCGATCTTTTACTATTTTTATCACTGGTAGAATTTCTTCGCGCAATCGCCGGTAATCGTCCGTGATCCGGCGCAGCTCTGTTTCAACCAACATGAGCTTTTCGTCTCGAACTTGGATCGATTTGATTAAGCGCGCGAGGTCCTCTTGTGTCGCAGTTTCATTCATACTTTGATCCGCCGCTGCAAGCATGGGTTAGAAGTGACGCTAAACCGGGAAGTCTGAGAACATACTAAGTGGGATATAATGGTCTGCATCGAGAGGAACATCTTGCTTGACTTTGATTTCATACACACTTTTCAAAATCGTCAGTCGATGTCCCACACTGTTGATGCCCATTTCCTTCAGCTCCTCATGCTTCAGGGCGATCAGGGCTTCACCGACAATCCCATTCTCTGCGCAGTAGATTATGGTCAGTAAATAGCGCGAACTAAATATGCTCGAACAACTCTGCTGACCTCGAAATGTACCGTGATATTGCAGCAATCCAAGCGATGTCAAGAATTCCTTGCATTCATCGACTCCCCATTCTGTGATGAGTGCACGCGGTGAGCGAGGACCATCGATCGGGTGTCCAAATTTGGTGGGTGTGTGTTCCGATGAATGGATATCGGAGTCTGTGGGAGAAGATTCCGAGTCGATGTGTAGGTGCGGTGAAGTTATGACACTGCGCTCGTACTCATCGTCCGCATCGGAGTCGGCGTGGTAGGAGGTGTGGAGAGACATGACGGGGGATCTTCGGTGGTAAGATAATATTCACCGAAAGTAGACCTGAATGGTATGAGGGGTTCACAGGCGCCACCGCCAGAGTCGAGGTACTAGGGCCAGCAAAAACAAACAAAATGAGTATCGGCGGTAATGCGCCGAATGCTCTATTTTATAAGGCGCTGGCAAAACGAGGGGACGTTAAGACTTGAAGGTTTCAAGTCCAACATGGGCGGATTCGCAAGATCTTCCAGCAGAGAGGAGTTCTACTGCGTCTCTCGTGTTATGCTCGAAATATGTTCTTGATAACTCCTTTTGAAGGAGGGGTGTTGTCGAGTGCGAAACACGCGGCAATCAACAAGCTAAGCAAAGCGGGGAAGGTTGGCGGTTCAGGGCCACGGCGGGATAGGGGTGTTGGAAGAAAGGAAGGCCACCGGTCAAAGCGAGTGATATGTCTCTGTTTCCTGAAGTCAAAAGTAAACTGACTTCTGTGAGCAAGCTTAGAGCAACTGTCGAGATTAGGCGAAGCGGACGCTGGTCTAATGAGAACGGTGTTCACGTGACTGGGCCTGGACTCTTCATAACGGGGGCGACTTTTGGGACCTTCAGAAGTATATCCAACTACATCTCTTCCTCTTTTTAAAAGTACCTATGTGATATGTTTTCCGTCGGGTCCGAGAATTCTATCCAATCAGGATATATTCTGTACAAAGTCAATATCTCTGGCATGATCGAATTGAATTTGTTACCCACCCCGCCTTCATCAAAATGATGCCAAGCACCTACAAACCATTATGGCTTAGCAGCTCCTTTTCCCTCCCTTTACTCCAACTAGGCACCCATTGATCTTCGATAATCCCAAGCTGGACTTTTTGTGTGCGCTTGAGATGCCCATCCTCGATGCTGTCCTCCATGCCAACGTGCTTGAAGCCCCCGGAAACAGATTTGGGCGTGATCATTGTGGCCTGTGATCGGGTACATCAGTTAGTGTATATTTCTGTGAGCGAACATTAGCCTTCGATGCATATATGTTTATCCGAGATAGAACCCACCGGCGAGTCAATCCATGCTGCCAGTGATGATAAAACAACGGTCCCGGTCTTCGGTATCGGGTTGCTTGCGAAAATAGTGGAACGGCCAGTTTCCATGTATATATTGTGCCAACCAAGCTGAAATTGACCATGTCAGCTTCAGCTTGATAGGAGGCTCGTCGATATCTATCAAAATGCGTCAGAAAGGAGTTATTAGTCTGAGGCATGGCATATAATTGACAATCTTACTATCCAAATGCCACAGGTCGTCACCAGAGGCACAACTGAAGCCGGCATTTGGCTACGAAATATCAAGCTGCGTAAGGTCCTCATATATTTGTACTCGATCTGTACTTGGTTATCCTCGGAAGTGATATTGCATTTACGAACTGAACCGCCCGTTTTGGTGGAATAGTGCACCCCACGGGACCGGTGAACTCATATCTCTGTCGTTGAGGCATATTGATATTAATATTTAGCCTCTAAATATTTGCTCCTTCATATATACGCAGAATGGGAACCGTCGTATATTCATTTCCGACACACTATCACCAATTTACGTCCCTCGTCTCCAGTCTTGGGTTAATGTCCGCGGTTGGCCGGTGCGCTCCCCATATATATATAGCATTTCAACCGAGGGGTTCATTCGGCTATCCGAGAAAAGTAAACCGATGAGAGATAATCCATGCCAGAACCACATATTTTCACAAGAGTATCCGATCTGCGGGGATTAAAGGTAATAGAATAGATCTTGTGGGGCCTGGAGTACCTACTGCGTCATCAAGAGCTAGAGCCAAAGCTCTAGGTACAGGGAAATGTAGTAATTCGAAAGAGGGGGATATTCAGAGCCCCAGTGTGAATTGGTAGTCTATTCAAATGCAATAGCGCCCGTGGTCTTCGTATGTAAACCCATGAAATTTGATGCAGCCAGGCCGAAACAATCTGTACTCCTTAGAAAGAACCCGCCATGCATAATCGCATTTTGAAATGCTGCTTTCCCAGCGCCCGGTGGCTATCATTACTTCTTGTCGCCGTTGGGTACGCTCTCCCCTTCCAAGTCGGCCACTTCTCGTATGATATCCTTCAATCCGCGGACACCCTCGTCGACCACCGTCTCCGGGATGCGGATATCGATATCTTCAATGTACTTCAGAGGGTCGTATGAGTGATCTTTGGCTCTGTTGCCTTTCTTCATACCGTTGGTCTCTTTTGATCCGTTTGTACTTTCACCGTTCGCGACCTTTGGCCCCAGTGCGGGGTGGCTTCGGCCCTCTGCCGAAGCGAGCACTGCCGCCATCACATCGTCGAAGGTCTCACAGCGGCCGGCGCGGAGGAGTTCTGTGGCGAGGGTGGTGACCTTTTCGGTCCAGCCCAGGCGATGGAGGGAGCCGAGGAGGTTTTCCTGCAGATCTTCGAGTGCGCAGCTGGCGGACAGCTTGACGAGGAGGTCGGATTCGAGGGCGTCGGGGGTGGAGGAGGCTCCGTTGGTGGAGGTGGAGGGGGGCATTGTGGTGGGTGGGTTTCGGATTTTCGCAGGACAACGCTGAGGACGAGAGAAAGGGCAGAGTATGAGGTTTCAGGACAAAAGCTCTAGCTCCGAATTGCGCACAAGAAATGAGGCGACGCTTTGCGCAAAAGCGATGATCGGAGAGGAGGGGCCCGCCCTTTATTTCAATGCGGGATTGAAAGCGGATTAGAATTACATTGCATGTAGTAAAAAATAAATTTCATGCATAACGACCAGACAATTGAAGCTCAACAGAAAATAAGAAATGGTAGAGTAGATGAACAGGAAGACTCGCATTGACGGTTGCCAGATCGGACAATCGGCATTGTGGGTCCGAGCGGTGAATCGCCTAGTCTCATTTTATTCCTCGATTCTTCTATTGATGCCTCCTTTATCCTATTGAACTAATCTCATTTCCTCGTTAAACTATTCTCTTCGTCTGGCACAAAAGTACACATGTATATACTAACTCGGCTTTGCTAGCAGGGAAGCTATGACTATGTTCTAGTTATATCCGACCCCGATATCCACTAACAGATCCCAGAATTATGAATGCATGTTCGGCCTAGAACTTAGTATCCTATTTGAGTTTGATTTCAAATGGACCAGGGGCAGGACTTGTCAATGCCCAGGCAATGCCGTCGCTCATGACTTCGTCCCACCTCTTGCTGTCTGGCAGCTGCTTGTACCTCCTAAATCCATGGGGGACGCCGGGGAAGACATGGACATTGGTAGGAATGCTGAGAAATGTTTAGCTGCTGAACGCCCGAAATCTTGAGGAATATGGGAAACTCACCCGTTCGCAGCGAGGTGCTGTCCATAGAACAGACCCTCATCCCTTAATGGGTCATTTCCCGCGATTCCAAACGTAGTAGGAGGCAAGTCCTTGATCTCTTCCGCTGTGGCATTTCCAGGGCTCAACCGACGATCTCCAGCGGCATCCTTGGTGTCTCCAAGCCCAAGGAGCTCGGTGAACAATTTCATTCGAGTCACCGGCAAGATAGGCGCGTTGGCACATTGCACATAGCTTGACAAATCAGGACTCTTGAGCATCTCCAACCTCGGCGCATAGTGATCCCATTGTACAACACAAGGAATCATGAGGACCTGTCCCGCAATTTTGGGACAGGCCGCTAAGCGCTTATCCTCGCCACGCAGCTGAGCCAGCGCCAACGATGCAGTCAACCATGCGCCAGCTGAAATACCGCCCACAATAACCTGCTCGCTGATCCCACCGATCTCGTCAATGTTTGCGTGTAGCCAGACGAATGCGTCTTCCACGTCATTCCAAGCAGTGGGATAGCGGTATTCGGGGGTGTGCCGGTAATTGACATTCAAGACCACGACTGGGGTGCCCTTCTGAACACGCGAGGTGACGATCCGCGAACAAGTGCCGTCTTCAGAAGAAAGTGTCCCGAAAAGGAAACCTCCGCCATGAAGATGGACGTAAACAGGCAGGCGTTGGGAGATTGGAACGCCGGCGGGACGGTAGGTGCGTGCTTCAAGAGGCGTGCCGTCACGGGCTGTGATCGTGTGGTCATGTAGCTGGACTGCGGCACCGAGGCCATCGATCATATCTTGGGCGGCGGATGCCTCGCGGCCCTTGTTTAATAATGCCTTCAGTTGTTCTACCGAGAGGTCCTTGGGGAGCTCAGGCAGCGTCGGCTCGAGGGCGACCCATTCGGCGCTGGGCCTACCATATTCAGTGAAGTCGGCCATTGTTTAGTGGCTAAAGGTAATTCTATTGCTAAAAGAAGAAGGGGAAAAAAATGGGAAATAAGAAATAACCAAGAAGTCTATCATATATCGTGATTTAATAAAGCTCGCCAAGTAAAAAGGACAGAGGGGTAGTGGAGGGGCACCAAATGCATGTACAAATGAATGTACAACGTACATAGCCAGGTACATTCACAGACATATCGCCATCATCTCTACCCCCACATCACCTCGGCTCGGCTACCGGTAACAGCGCATCTGAGCATTCGGTAACCCCGCATGAAGATGGACTATTTAGGTATGCCGTGAACGCGAAAAGATGCAGCACGTATAAGTGTACAGCACGTATAAATGTAGATAGCATGCGCGTCCGTGGTCCGTTTACTTTTTCGATATAGTTGACTGGTAATCTCAATTGAAAACCAAATCATCAGATCCAAAATCATGGAGTCCGGCATTCCCTCCGAGCCCCCTTCGCGTTCTTTAGCCGGCAAAGTCGCCATCGTAACAGGCGCAGGCTGCCTGGGTGATGGGATCGGAAACGGACGCGCGATTGCAATCCTTCTTGCGGATGATGGCTGCGACGTAATTTGCGTTGACCTCAACCTGGAGTGGGCCAACAAGACCGTGGAAATCGTGAACTCGAAACCCGGTCGTGGACGAGCGCTTGCAATTCGTGCAGACATCACATCAGAAGAAGACTGCCAAGCAGCAGTGCGATTTGCAGCTGAACAGTTTGGACGACTGGATATTTTAATCAACAATGT